AGATCTACCTGGGAAGGCGTTTCGCCTCCAGAATTCTCAAATCCTGGACCTTGATTCCCTTGTACAAAGAACGTACCAAATGTGCCTGAAATTTCAACAGATTATCACATACTGGGTTCCTGACTTTCTCTACGTAAATCCCTCTGTAACACCCTTACCAAGCGGCTTTCAAATTCAAAAGGCAATTCTCAAATCGTGGGTGCCTAATTGCTTCAACATTGGTTCATTCTCTCATTACCAAAAGAACTTCAGACTTGAAGGGGGATTCCAGAATCCTCTGCCTCACTCTCCGTTTTCTCAGCACTGATTTGATTTAGACAAATTGTTTATTACATGTGCTTCTATTTCACAACAGAACTTTCAGGTCCTGGGTTTCTGACTTTCTAGATGGAGATTCCTCTCTTCTGGGCCTGGATTTTCTGTATAAATCCCTGAAGACTCCAATTCAAAATTAAAGGCTCATTCTCAAATCATGGGTTCTTCTTTGTTTTAGTATGTAGATCCCTTGTTAACATGGGCTCTTCTTAATTTTTTGTATATAGATCCCTTATTGAATGTGGTTCGATTTTGAGAATGGGAAGTTCCTCTTACTGGGCATGATTTTTCCTAATTACAAGTCTCTACAAGATGCGTTCCCAATTTCATTCAGAATTTTCAGATGCTGGGCTCCGGTCTTTTCAAATTTGAGTTAGAGATCTAAAGTCCAAGCCTGGCTTCTCTTTCCGAAGGCATTGGCTTTCTTGCTGTAAACACTTCGCCGAATGTATTTCAAAGTCAACCTGTATTTTCATTTCTGGTTGTTGATGCTCTTTCCTTTAAATGCAGCGCATAAAGCGTGGTTCAAATGTAAATCAGATTTCCTCTTCTGGGTCTGCACCTTTTCTATATAGAATTCTCCTCAAACCTGCTAGCAGTTGGGCAACCAATTCTCAGACCATGGGTTTCTGGCTTTGTGCGAATAGATCTCTCATTATGTGCTTTGATCATCTCTTCCTGGGCTTGGCTTTCTTTTCGTAGATCCGTGACCAAAAGGGTCCATTAAATCCAGTATCAAATCCAGAGATCCTGGTTTCGGAGTTTTTTTCCGGTCCATATAAATCCCGTACTAAATTTAAGCGAAACTAATCCAGAACTCCTAGGGTTCTGGATTCCTGGTTTTGGAGTTGGTTCCAGTCCATATAAACCCCTTATTACATTGAAGTCAAACTAATACAGAACTCCTAGGGTCCTGGATTCCTGGTTTTGGAGCTAGTTCCGGTTCATATACATCCCTCATGAAATTTCAGTGAAACTAATACACAAATCCTGGAATCTTGGATTCCTGGTTTTGGACAAATAAATCCCGTATTGTGTTTGAGTGAAACTAATACGGAAATCCTAAAATCCTGGAGTCCTGGATTTGTAAATATCGCGTAGGCATGAGGAGGTCTCAAAAAAACTATAATTTCCTTTGCCGAATCTTTGAAAAAAGCCTGAAGATGTGAAAACTTTGCCAAAACCTCAGGAGGTCCGAAAGCTCTAACATGGGAGGTCGTAGGATTGGCTGCCTCAGGATTCTTGATTATTTTTGAGACCTCCTCAGGTTTTGGCAATATTTTCATTGAAAACCTTGCCAGAACCCGAGGAGGTCTCAAAAAAACCAAAGTCTATAGGTGAAAGTGGTGCTAAAACCTGAGGAGAGGAGGTCTCAAAAAACCAAAGACTAAAGGTGAAAATGTTGCTAAAACCTGAGAAGGTCTCAAAAAAACAAAAAAAAAACGAAGTTTTGGAGGTCTTGGGCATAGGGGTCTCTAGAGTTTTGGTTTTGTTGAGACCTCCTCAGTATTTAGCAATATTTTTATTGAAAACCCTGCCAAAACCTGAGGAGGTCTCAAAAAAACCAAAAATTGAGAGGCCCTGGCTTTGAAGACCTCCAAGACTTCGGTTTTTGGCTTTGTTGAGACCTCTTCAGGTTTTAGCAACAGTTTCACCTTTAGTCTTTGGTCTTTAGAGAAATCCTCAGGTTTTAGCAATAGTTTTACTGAAAACCTTGCCAAAACCTGAGGAGGTCTCAAACAACCAAAAATTGAGAAGCCCTGGCTTTGAAGACCTCCAAGACTTTGTTTTTTTTTGAAACCTCCCCAGGTTTTAGCAACATTTTCACCTTTAATCTTTGTTTTTTTTTGAGACCTCCTCAGGTTTTGGCAACATTTTCAAAGAAAACTCATAGGAAAAACAAGCAAAACTTTTCTGTTTCGAGGTTTTTTGTATAAAATATTGCTAAAACCATGGGAGGTGATGCAAACATTGAAATTTCTAAATATTAGTCAACTACCGGATTCCGGTAGTCGCTAAATGGATCTTCAGAACGTGAAGTTTGCAAGTACAACAGATGTATTCGCTATGTGGTATAAACAGAAGCACGTAATTTACGGTGTTTTTGCACTTCCATACAAGGATATGATGTGCTTGTAAGGAAGAGTATTTGATGCAAAACCTTTCGAGGTAGATCTTGGGAAGGGGTGACCATATATATATATATATGTGTGTGTGTGTGTGTGTCTGTGTGTGTATGTGTGTGTGTGCGCGTGTGTGTGTTTGCTTGTGTCTGGGTTTAGCTTTCATGCTTGTTCATTTGCTTGCTGCGCGTGTGCGTGTGTGTGTTCGCAAAAGGGACCGATCCGAAGTTCATGCAGCGCTTGTGAGTTCCTCGTTGTGGACGCTGCCTGATTGGCCTTGCATGCCGATCGCCTCTAGCTCTGCTTCCGGGCATTCTGCCAGCTTCGACCTCTCATGATCAGAACTGACCAGGCAGGGGACCGAGAGGACAAAGGAGTGCGCTAAGAATGAAACTTCTTGGCAAGGTCCACTGCGTGGCCTGGCATAGCGTCTGCAAGACCAGGCATCCGACGGCCCACGAAAACGCGGACAGGGCCGAGCCAGGCGGACTCAACAATTCAATTCTGGTGTGGTACTGCTCCAGCAAATTAGCTGACAAACCATCCCACAGCCTCGAACCCCAGAAGAAGGAGATGCTTCGATCGGGAGGGACGAGAACGAGGCTCAGATGCTTGCTGCAGCCGAGCTGTCAGAGCCCTTGCATAGGACGAAGCCTCGGCATGCTGCGCAGCCTTTTTGGCTTTGCTTGATTAAACCTGACTCTAGACTCTACTGTAGGGGGCACCTTTGCCATCTGCATCTCCGCATCTCCGTCCTCCTGGCCGGCCAAAGCATGGCAACGATGAAAGGTACTTCACTTCGCACAGGGACATTCAAAAGTGCAGATTTAAGAGGAAGCACTGCAAGACTCTGTCCGCTTGAATCAGGTGAGACTGTTGCTTGTAGGCTTGCCTCAAGACAGCCTGTCCCAAGGGCAGCTTCCACGTGCGCCAGCAGAAACAAGAACCTAATGAATGAGCAGCAGCACGGCAATTGCACGCTCATGTCACGAGACCGAGGTCCAAAACTGAGGGTCGTGCTCCGTGGACGGAGGCAGATACCTGGGCAAATTGCTTCCAGGTTGCTTCCTACGTCCGTCGACGAACCATTTGCCTGTCTCCGCTGGCACCATCCGTGGCCATGCCCTGAAAGTCTTTATTTACAGTCTCCCCGAGGGCTATCGTCTCTTCACCGTACACTTTGTTTTGTTTTGTTTCAGTTCAAAGCTCTGGCTGAAGCACATCCTAAAACGCATACACGGAAGGGTGATTGCTGTCAACAATGTCTCCCAGCTTCCACAGCCACAAGCAGCATCCTTCGCAGCGGTATGTTTGATTAGCTGGTAGCCTCCACATGGCTGGTGGCTCAACCCCCCTTTCTGCAAACTTGCACTGGTCTGAACTGGTGTGGCTGCATCTTTTTTCTCAACCACAGCCGGGATCTACTTGTTGATACTGCTGTCTGCGTTCCTCACAACATTGCGACCTTGATCGGCTTGCAGGAGTCCATCTGAGCAACACTAGTCCGATTCCGCCCAAGAACCGCGCACACTTCTCCCGACCTCGCAGCCATGTGTCTGCAGATGGGAAGGACCAGTGACAGCAGGACTAGCCAGATGACGGTGTGATTGCTTGGCATGACTTGCTTCTTGCTGCCCGACCCAGTGAGCGCTGAAAGTCTTCACTTTGCTGGTGAGCGGTTCTGCCTGCGCTCTGCAGCCGACCCAAAAGACTTCTGCCCGAGAGGTGAAAGTCTAAGGGATCAGCAACAGTCTCAGCAAAAGCCGCGCATAGTAGCCAGAGGACACACAGGTAAAGCAGGAAGACCTGAGAGGCTCAGAAGAGCTGTGAGAATCTTGAGCTGTCCGGCTTCCATGCTTTCGACCTGCGGTGTCCACGGCAGACCAGGCCAAAGACCTGACGGGGCCGGGCTCTGACTTGGCAACAGCCACATGTCCCGCCTCCTGCACCAGGTGCCCGAATCCAAAGAAAGAGGTCATGCCTGCGATGGCAAATGCAAGCAAGTTTTGTGCCGGCCATCCGGCTTGCTGTTCTTGATGGCACTCCGATGCTTAAGACTCTCTCGCATCTTTTCAGGGTGCGAACACGGCTTTACGTGCTAACCTATCAAGTGAATTGCCAAGTCTGCGTGGTCAGTTGTCTGGGACTGGCACGGCGTCTAGCTGCCCACGATGGGAATTGCATAAAGCAACCTCTTGGGTTGGGTTTCCATCATAATTATCATCGTCGTCGAAGTCAGCCTCCACAATACGGTTCCTGGAAAGGCAGCCAGTGGCTTGACTCTCGTGTGGGTAAGCTGGCACGACGACACCGATCGATCCATATACGCCACCGAAAATGACACGAGTACATTCCAGACACTGTATGCTACTGTCAGGATCTACGCTCCGGCAGGTTGCTGCATCATCTCCGGCACCGAAGTGGCGATGCTTTAAGAACTTTTCAAACCCTGCGCTGGTATCGCTGCGGAAGAGCCAAACTTCAACCTCGCGGAGTTCTGGTGCTGAGTCTGCAATGCCTGCATGCTGGGATTGCAGAATGCATTCAGTCCAAGATGGCTCTGAAGTGGCTGTCGGTATTGCTGGAGGCGGTGCAAGCTCGACAGGGCCACCTACAGCTGCCAGTCGCTGCTCCTCAGTCGCCGCAGTGCAGGAAGCCAGAAGACCACGAGCAAGGAAGCTTGTCTTCCCGCAAAAAGCCATCTGTTCAATCAGTCTCTGCGATTGCCAGCATGCCACGAGTAGACCGAAGAGGGTTCCATGCTTGAGGCGTCCCTTCCGTGTCGCACGTAGAATCACCAGCTCCATGGCAGTCTCGGTGCAACCGCTCAACTATGCAGCACCTACAAGCCAAGCCGGCAAATCCAAATCAACCCAAGCAAGTCTTGCTTGTTTTTGCGGACTGTTCATGCTGGCACTGAATGGGCCCTGTCAGGAGACCTTGTTCAACACCATCATGACCTTCAGACATGCCCGACATCACCATTGGCACCATCCCATGCTCATCGTCTATCTTCAAGCCTTTTTCTTGGCAGCTGCTTGGCTGAATCCTATTGCATAGATTGTAAAGCTTAACTATGCAGACTTCAGACAAGGCAGCCATAGCTGAGTCTTTTGAGGCTTCTACGAGCCATTTCATTCAGATCCTGTAACATCTGTAAACTGCGAACATGTCGAAAACCAGCAATGTCATCATGCAGAAATCAGACACAAGCACCAAGACATTTAAACGTATATGTCCAATGTAGAATCTAGACGTGCATCTAAGAAACTGCAGCAAATGCGACACTGGGGGCATAGCACAGCCGTCTGCAGCAAGTAGACCTCCAAAGTGTACCGGCCCAGCCTGACCTGTCGTGCAGTGAACTTCATGAAAAGCCAGATTGAGCATTGCGTTCTCCCAACTTTCTCCGAAATTCCGCCAGCTTCACCAGGATCTTCTGCGAAAGGATGCGAGCCAACAGCGAGTTTCCATTGGAAGTATCTGGCCATGCACGGAAGGCAACGCCCTCCGTTTCTTATCCCCTCTCCTCGCACAACGTAGCCTCATGAGCCTCATTAACCTGAAGCAGGCCGCCGTGGCAGTAGAGGAAGGTGCACAAGAACGGCGCGGAAAGTCGAGCAGACCTCTGACTCCAGACGTTCGCGGGTTAGCCGTTGTCTGAGATTGAGTTTGAACATGAAAACGTATGGACCGGACAGCTGCTCCCAAGCGATGTAGTGTCCCGGCCTTCACCGAGACCAGAGCCAAATCGAAAAGCTTAACTGCAACAGTAGACCTCCACTGCGCTGGGCCACTCCAGTCGGGTGGTCTTTCTGGGACCGGGACCTCCAGAAAAAAAGCTATCAGCAAAAGCTGTGTCGCATCTCAAAACTCATGCCCATGTGCCCCTGCCAGCGTGCACGTCAGGAGGAGGCTCAACATTGACAAATCCCCAATCCATCCGACCTCCGCACACCAGCTCTTCTAGAACGATGTGCTGTTCATTGATTTCTGCATTGCTGTTGTTCTGAACAAACTCTGTTCCGTGGCGCCCACAGCTGCACACGGAGGCTTTCTAAGTACCTTTGCCAGCTTGCCAGCGCATGGAACAGCAAACCTGTGTATGCTTGAGTAGCGTGCCAGTGCTGCCACGCATGTGCCTAACCTGCGAGTGGAGTTCAGCACAGCTTGTGTGCAAAGCGTGAGCATCGAAACGCTCGTCAATCTTAAGTCTGACACATGAAATCTGGCAAGAGAGCTGGTGGCCAAAACCAGGTGAAGGTAAATTCCGTCCATTCCAGCCAGGCCCCGCGAGAAAGCCTCGGACTTATGGAATGACAGCGCATTCTGCCACCTCTCAGCGGAATCCGCTCCAATTCGCCGGTCCCCACCAAAACCTCCCCTACTTGTTGCCATTTCTGAGTGCATGCATATGTTTGCCTTTGCCCTTGGCTTTGTGGCCTATTGGCGCAGATGCGAAGGCTTCGGCAAGCCGCAGGATGTGGTGCAGCAACCAAGCTCCAAGGTGAAGACCCCGTTTTCTTTTAACCCAGACTCTGCCAATCAGCTGGGAAGCAGCACTTCCAGACTATTGCTCTTCACGTTTGTTGCTACTGGACCCTAAACCCAACATCCTAAATCCTCAACCGAATAAGTGACAGACTGTTTAACTTTTAGACGTCTAACCCAAAAGCCTCGAGCCTCCATCGATCCAGCGCTAAGTGTCCGCAAGAGCATTGGAGGAGTGCACGCCGCCCGGAAAGGAGTGACACTCGTCACCTTTTTCTGCGCATGGTGCTGCAAAGGCTCTTGCTTGTTGTCCTGAGCGTTTTTGCTTCCATCGTCGTCCCTTCCAGGGTTTCGTTCTCTGCTACTTTCACTGGCTTCCCCTCATCATCGTTGTCTTGTACCTCCTGGGGTTAACTCCCCAGCTCCCGTTCCCCCAAAAAGTCAGGTTAGCTGGGCCGGCTCTTTCCCTTGGCCCGAAAGGGGATCAGCATGAAAGGACAGCGCTGCAGCACTTGAACTAAAATGCCTCTCCCTTCGCTTTGCTTTGCATTGCTTTGCAAGTGGCAAATCCAGCAGCCGCAGGTGTGCTTCATGTTGTATATTACACATTTTCGACAGGACACAGAGACTTCGCTCAGGAGCGGAGGTTTTCCGATCCCCAGCTGGCGGGACGTGGAGAGCTACCTTCAGCCTTCTCTGCAGGTGCGACCCAGGCAACTCAGCATCCTCGGTTGCCGCCAGATGCCACGAAGGATGCCGACATCATAGAGATCGTGGACTAGTTGTTCAGCAAAGTCAAAGATAGGACTTATGTGACATAGTGTGTGTAACAAACACGGTCGTCTTGATGCTCCTTGCTTCCACTCCCTTTCGGTCCCTGTCGTCCTGCCTGAAGCCTGGTGCTTGCTTTGTCCCGTCCAGCCCTGCCCTCCCTTCTCGGCTTTCTGCCGCTTCACACACTCTCACTTTGCAAGCCACCTGCTTGAGCACTCCCATCAATTCTTGCTGCGACTGTGGACGTTGGGCCGGATAGGCTTGTGCCATCATACCCGACTCGCTGAGCCGGAGCTGCGACAATTTGGCCCGCAATCGCCAAGCACATAGGCTTCTTCCGGAAGTGTGGCAGTGCGACAATTGCAAATCCCAGGCCGTAAGGGTCCAATGACCTCTCAACACCGACTGGCGCAAAGCCACCGCCCTGTGGCGCAGCGTTCAACTTTAGTGTCCATGTGGCTGTCTGGTATTACTTTTCGCGGATTCGAGCATTTGCATCGAAATCAAATAGCCAATGTACTCTCAGCCTGACATGTTGGCGTTGGCGCGAACCTCTGCTGCCGACTTGTCCCGGCCACGCGACATGTATGCGGACCTGGAATTCATGATAATGAGACAATTTCAAAACGCAGTAAGCAATAGCACAATAAATATGTTGCTCAGTGCACTGCAGCATCTCGCATGTAACACCTTGTTACGCAGCCTCACACAAAAACTTGCAATGCACTAGAACAAAAGGTTTCATGACATGAATCCGAGTATGAATCTAGTGAGACCGTGAATTAGAGACCACAAGGTTGGAACATCACTACCCTCATGCCCTTAGCTCTATTCACTAGTCATACTTAGTCAATGTTCCGACCTTCTTCTCTTTTTCACTGTAGAAGCGCACACACACACACAGAGTCTCTTCTACACATGTATTCTGTGTGCTCATGAGTTGATGACTTGTTGAGGTGAAATGACCGTCCTCGATTGTTGCACGGTCCAGCTTTAAGGAATTAGAGATTTAGGTGTTTGGATAGGGAAACGTTCCAGGCCATGCACCAAGCACACGACATATATGATCATATTATACTAATATAATATAATATAATATAATATAATATAACATAATATAATATAATATGATATAATACAATATGACAAGATATAATATAACATAATATAGTATAATATAATATAATATAGTATAATATATTATGATCAT